ATCAACTGTGTACACACTGAACCTGTGAATGTTTGTGTTCCGTATAGAAAACACATGCAAGAGAGTGACTGTGGGCACTCGTGCATATTTGTGCTGTGAAACCAAAGGAGGGTTAATCTTGAAATGTTTGACCTGCCTGACGTGTATTATAACACTGTATGCTCAGTGTATGACCCGGAGGCTTGTGAAAAAAAACCCACAAGAGTACTCGGGTGGGACTCGAACCCACAACCTTCTGCTTACTAGTGCAGTGCTTACAAGCTTGCCGGTGTCGGCTGGCTGGTTTGAATCAGATGTAGCGGTGGGTACAGTGAACAACTATTTCCAATTTGCACCTTTTTATCCCAGTGTAATTTTCAATGATTTCAATCTCATGATAACATTTTCCATGAAAGCCTTGTTGGTGAATTTGTATGTATTATCAACCCAGTTTTTTCCCTTTTTCCCACTGGCTGTCCTTATTTAGCCTACCTTCACGAGCAGCTCTCGACTCATTTCAAAATTGTTGTCGTCCATGAATATGCTCGCTAGGTCCTCAAAGAGAAGCACGTGTGCCCTGAGAGAGAAACAGTTTTGGTGAAATGGACATGCCATTAAGTCTCTAAACGTCAACTCCATCTGGTCACAGAAAAGGAAACTTGCAAGTTACATGTTCTTTTTGACTTCTGCAAATTCCATCCAACGGTCTCGTGTTTTGTCAAGAATGACGACACCCAATTAGAAAGCTGGGCCCAATTATATAGAGCCGCTTTGCACACACGAAAATGTTTGCTAAGGACAAACAGGTTTATCGGTTAAATTGTCATGTAATGGATACTGCTTATTACTAGTACTCAGCTGATTTCCTGCTTAGCATGTAATGATAAACAACATTTTCTCCGGAGCTGGGCCCGCATTTCGGTGAGATTCAAGTTACAGACTAAATTCATATATACCACTCGTGGAATTCTTGGAGTCTGAGTTCTACACTATCAAAGATAAAAATGACCCCCCAAAATTACAGCCGACTAGAAACACAATTATTTATGCCATTTCTCTGATGCCTGCGTGTCCTGCCAGAGGCCTCAACCTCCCCTGTACCTGGGCACTGCATTCCAGACTTTCCTCAGTCGGTGGACGGGATGGGTCTGCAGACCGGCAATGATGGCTTTGGCAGAGGAGAAGTTCTTCATCTCTCGACACACCTGTCAACGGAAATGAAGAGATCACTGAACCCTTCTGAGAAATGACACAGACAGTGATGATGAAATTTGATCACGCACCATGTGTCAACCAAAGGTTTCAAGACTGCACCAAGAACCCAACGCTCGGATGGGTAAAAAAGTCTTTTAAGTTTGGCAAAGACTCCCTACAAATCTTACTGTCTCAATTTTATACTGTAAGCTGGAATAAATAGTTGATTTGACCAGTTTTATAACCATAAGGGTTATAATTAACAAGGTCTTATGCATGAAATTTTATGTTTTATCAATCATGTGGTTCAACCTGTAACTTACATGTAGTTTTGGTAACTTTTAATTATAATTTTAATGGTAGTTTTTATATAACTGTTATGAATGTGTAATCATTATTCTTATTATTTTGATATGTATAGCGCAATTAAATATTGTTAATAGAAATGGCGCTTAAGAAATGAAATAAATGTTAAATGTTCTTAAACTTTAATGAGGTTAATGAAGTTCAGGTCAGCCATAAGTTTTAGTCAAACCTGCTTATTAAGTGCTAAGAATGTGGTTTCTGGCTTCTACATGCATGTACATGTAACCCTCCAACCTCACCCACTCCTTACATTTCCACCCGGTGAACAAATAACACTGTGGCTTGTGCAACCATTTTGAACATGATAGAAACCGGAGCCATTACTTCTGCTCTTGCTTAGGTTACACAGCGCCCTCTACTTGCAATGCACCGACCAGATAGAGAAACGGAACACTGGTCGTCCATGAAACTTCTATCTGCAGGCATGTTTTGGCAGGGGCCAGGGTCTGAATCCAGCTGCTGGCCTGTATGTTGTGTCCATGGGCAAGCCACTTAACACCTACTTGCCTCTCTCTTTTCGGGAGTAGACATGGGTACTGGTATTGGCTAGGGATATAGATTGCCATCCAATCAAGGAGAAAGAAATCTTGTCAGTCATGTCATGCCAAGGAAACTGAGGAACATCGGCTAGACGAGCCACATAGGCTTTGGACAGACTCAACTTTGACAGAGTCGTCAGCTGAAAACAGGAGCTGCTCAAACAGAGGCAGTGTGGTTGTACGACCCACTAAAAAAAAGCCCCCGTAATCCTTGACATTTGCAGTCAGCCGTTGATTTCCATGGCACAGTCTGAGTCATCACGTCACTGTTCCAGACGGTGTATTTGCAATGCCGCCATCCACTGTACATCTGTGGTCGGTTTATTTCAAGGTTTTGTGAGTCACAGGTCCTTGGGGTGTCTACATGCACTGCCAAGTTTTATATAACATCTATGAGAAAGGGATCGACTGTCATCTTAGGGCAGAGTATACTACAAATTCACTGAACAGCTGGGTTCTCTACACAATCCCCATAACTCGGTCCTAAGTTGCCTCACAATGGAAAACTTCCCCATAATCCAGTGAGGGCCTGCTGGAGTATCTACACTGAAATGTCCCCAAAACTCGGTCCTAAGTTGCCAAACAAAAGAGAGAAAAAAAAAAAGCAAGTCTGGTCCGAGCAAATTTGGCTCATCAGGCCGGTGCTCATCTCCGGTTTCCTTGGCATGAAATGACTGAGAATATTTCTGTTCCACCAGGATAGGATGCCAGTCCATCGTAGGTTGCTTCCTCAGCTAATGCTGGTACCCATTTATACTCCTGAGTGGAGAGAGGCAAGCAGGGGTGAAGTGGCTTGCCAAGGGCCACACCATATTGCCAGGAGCTGGATTCGAACCTCTAACCCTATAATTGGAAGTCACAGACCTTAACTACTTAGCCATGTGCCCACCTCTAACAATCAAAAACTAACCATAATGCAGTGAGATAATCCAGCTGGGCCTCCCTGCATTAGGAGGAAGTTTCTATTGTTAGGCAAATTAGGACAGAGTTATAGGGACATTTTTCAGTACCCACAACCTTTTGGTCCCCACAAAATCAGTGTAATGTACAAAACATGTACATGTATGCCCATGACTTTTTGCATTACTGACACACTTTTATCTGAAGTGTACACCCAGTACATTGCAAGTCACGAGTCACGAGTGTTCTAGGCTCCGAGTCAAAATGCTTCTGAGCAATGTTATAAAAGTTGATAAACTGACAAGCTCGAATTTGGCAATTTTAGAAAGACTGTATAATATAAAACATATGTCGGTTCTTATCGATACATTTTAGAAAAGGTAAATATGAAAAATATTTACATTGCATTATGGGCCCCCCCCAAAAAAATTCAGATTTCCCTCAAGTGAGCAATTCATCATTCATGAAATAACTGCTACTTCTAAATGTTGTAATTTACTGGGAAAAAAATTCACACTGACCTGTGCTACCTCTATCCACTTCTTAATTATGGCCGCCCTGTCGTGTGACCGTAATGTTTTGTCCTCGATGACCGTCGTCATGACGCGGTTGCAGACATCATTGAATTGCGTCACAGTTGCCTTGACTGAGGCAACGTCGTTGAAGCTGGTTTTTGTCTTGTCGCGCTGCGACCACATTCCCCCCAGGCAGTGCTGAAGGTTGACCTTCCTAAACAGGTCCTGAGAGGATAGGAATGAGAGGAATTTCTGGTTGAATCAAGAAGTCTTCAACCAGCAGGATTCAAACCCCTGACCTCTGAAGCATTGTACCGAGTGCTCTACCTAATCTTTAGAATCTTGTCAACTCCCTCAAAGCATTTGTTTTACAGCAAATAACTTTCTGGTTGACCTCAGACACTTTGAGGTGAAATGTGAACCTGTAACCTCCAAAATACTGGTCCAATGTTCCACCAACTACAAGACAACTCTTCAGGCAATTCCCTTCTCCATCCATCCGTCTCAAAGAAGACTGATCCAAGCTTGATTCAAACCTACAAAAGGTGAGATATACTTTGCCAATGCCCAACCAACCACACCCTTCAGATCTGACCAGCCCCCATACTTTTTGCTAACCAGCCTACAGTTATAAACAGGAAACTGGCTTTGTGAGTGTCGAACCTCAAACCTCTGAAACACAGTCGTACGCTCTACCAACTCTGGCCCAGTAATTTCACGTCGGCATTTATAAAGGTAACGTTCTCTATCAGCAGACCCATCTGCCGTCTTCACTTACCGCGTCCATGCAGGTGAGCTGCTGTGCCAACAGTAAGCTGTCAACATTCTTGATGTCTAGGAACATGTTGTCCATCATGACTCCGTCCACCTCATCGCACATGCTCGCCTGGAATGACAGCTGATTGCTTGCTTCTGAAACGGCATGATGGGTGTCAACAACACAATAAAAAAAACACAGGCTAACTTTTCTCCTCAACCTCCTTGTCTGTGCATGAAGCCTAATCCTATGTAACACATTAGTGGTTGAGCTCTTTAGACTTGAATCTAGAAGCTACATGACCAACTGGTGGATTTTGATGGAATTGGTATATTTAAGGTAATCATTGTTTGACATGTATCAGTGTGCATGGCACAGTTCACCCTGGATCCTGATACCCACAGGGAGTCTTTGGTAATTGTTCAATTCTAACTCTACGATTTGAAACAACACAGGCTGACATCCTGTCAGCCTGTTTGTCAAGGTCACAGACCCAGACCCCTGGGTGATATGGGGACTGTTGCTTCCCTTCTAACTACGGAGATTAACGCTGCAATTTGGAGTTGTGCCAATGTCCACAGTAAAGCCCCATTTCCTTCAGCTGCCAGGAAAATTTGTGTTTTAAAAAGGAAAGTTAACAAGTTCCGTCTGAAGCAGTTGTCTGATGGATTTACCAAGACCTGTGGTGTTAACCACATAAGCCCTGGACAAACAAAAATTTCTAGGGGCCAAAGATTCTCTGGTCCAGCGGAAACCATGTGGGATTCCACTTTGGCAAGCAACTTGGCTTTCGACAAGAAACTGTTTTAATAAAAATTCACTGCAGCAATTATTACACTGTTCTATTTCTTTTAAACATGTTTCTGTGAATTTAATTACCCCAAGCACCCAGATCGTTCAAATCCAAAAGCTTTTGAAAGATTTTGTAGGACTGAGGAAGGTAGAACTCAGCCACCTTGTCCACAGGAGCTGATGCCTTGATACTTTGTTTTGCTTAGCAAATATCTATTGCGCTTAGCAAATGTCAAAGCTTTGTGAAATCTACAACAAAGGCAGTTTAATAATAGGACAAAAAATGAAAAATGCTTACCAGCTTCTTTGGCCTCCTCCTTGAAGAACTCCACCCGCCTCCTGGCTCGTTCCCCCAGCTCTAGGTCGAAGACCTCACCAGCAAACTCCTGCAGCCGGCTGAGGCAGGGGTAGTCGGGGTGCTCCCGAAAGTCATCCAGGTTCTCATCCAGCCACATCAAGATGACTGAACGGATGTTTCTATGAACGGCCAAAAGAAAATGAGTTTTTGTTTTGAGTGCGAGTGTGACTCATGACTTGAGACATACCGGTAGTCATGTGAAGGTTGCTAAACATTAATGTATCCTCTGCAGACAATCTGTATTGACCGTTTAAGTGTAGAAACCTTCCTTAGGGTACTCAT